CCAAGCACGCTGACACGACACCAAGCCGTGGTCATCAATGCCGATCTTCTCGACGTAGAAGCAGGGTCCTGACCACCAAGAACAACCACCACACCCGTGAGGAGAGAGAGCTCACCGCTCGCGGGCACCACCCGGACCGCGTCCAACCTCACTTACCATAACCAAGTGCCTCGACCTGCCTCGGGCCTATATCTGCTTTGCCCAAGCACGAGCCCCAGGTCGGAGCCGCCACCACCGCTTGTGCCACTGGTATCGCTTCCAGCACCTGCTGAGCCTCGTGCACCGCTGGCTCAAACCCATGAGAAGAGAAGGTCGTACCACCACCCTGTGCCACCTACTGGAACATGGCCATTAGATCCGCGCCACCATCACCAACACAAGCACACACACACACACCCCCATACTCGGCTGCCCGCAGCCACACGAACCCGCTGGAACGAGCCAACCGAGCCGTCACCACCTCCACGAGCAAGACCCACCATGCTACCGCCTCCACCACGCTGTTGTCGCCTTGGCAGAGGCCACATGCCCAAGCTGCCCGCAGCTCGCGACGCCAGCCACCGTAAGGAACCAGATCAAGCCGGATCTTGATCCGCCGCAACCACGAATGCTAGCCCATGCCACCACCACGAAGCCACCGATCCCAAGAGCCAATGCCGTGGGGAGCTGACGCCGCTCCCCCGCGCCTAGGGCTGGAAAAAAATGCTCGAAGCTTGCGAGCTAAACGAGTAGCTCGTGACTCGGCTCGAGTTGACTCGAACTCGAAGAATAACGAGTCGAGCCGAGCTTTAGTTTAAGATCGTTTATAGACCAAGTTAAACGAATCAATCTCAAGAGTACTCATATAACTCGTTAGGCTCAATACAAAAGATCAGCCACTCCCAATACAAAAAAAGACCATCCACTCAGCACCCTATGTCCTAGGCGCACAACATAAGGCCTAGTTTTCGAAGGCCCAGCCGCCCAAGAGACTCATGCGTTACAAGAAAATTACTATTGTTTAGTAATATATATGTTTAATATATACATAATTATTTTTATAATATTTGAGGATTTTATGTTCATATCTTTAACGAGCTTAACAAGCTTAAGGAGCCAGCTCGCGAGTTATACGAGTCGAGCTAATCTTAGATTTGAGCTCATTATAATAACGAGTCAAGTCGAACTAGCTCGTTAACAAAACGAGCTCTGACGACTCGGCTCGAATTCCAGCCCTACCCGCGCCCGACGCCAGCGTGGCGTCCCTGTCCTACGGCGCCGCCCTATGACGAAGTCCCTACGCGAGGGGCGAAATGCCCCGCTGATGCCAGCTAGCCACTGCCTGGCCGCGCCCCGTGGTGGCGATGAGGGGGAAGGAAGGGAGAGAAGGAAGTTTGCTGCGGCGGTGGGCGGACCCTCCTTGTCACCCATGGGAGCAACGTGGTAGGAGAAAGGCAGATGAGTTCAAACACAATTTGCACCTGACCAGGGCATCACTTTTGTGATCCATCTTGCGCCTCTATAAAGTTCTGGTTCGTCTTCATCATCTTCATCTTCATCAATCGCTTGTCATCCTACTCCCTCGTGACATTCCAAGAAGAAACCTACACTCCACAAGTCACACCATATCGGGACGGAAGTTGTTCTCGACATGGACGGCACCACAGCCAACACGGCCACCACGACCAGTCCCGGGAAGGGGCCTAGATCTTGATTGTAATAAATCTTAACTTAAAATAAGGAAGCATATGTACAGAAGTACAACGCACAACCTTTTATTTGAAATAGAAAGTAGTGTTTTTCTTTTAACACAATATAGACGCAAACGCTTATACATATGTGCATATACTCACTCCTATGAACGCATACACGCACACCATACTTCTATTAGCACCTTCAACAGATTGAGCTAGCATATCATCTTGACATAAAAAATTACTGTTGCTAACAAACAAGTGATGACATACGTTCACCGGACCGCTGCTACCCCATTTTTTTTTCTTGGACAGAACTTTTGGATCTCACGTGCGAGCGCACTCTGTGTGCGCAATTCTTTTTAATAATTTTAAAAAAACAAAAAAATGCCGAATCTGTTTTGGAATGAAATATGATCAAGTGTTGTACTCGTATAAAAAGTTTGTCAAGAAATGATTTCCGTTGACTTGAGGGCAAAAACATAAATTTATGACGACAACATAGCATGAATAGTATTTGTATATAGCATTTTTTGGCGAATTTTAACCCCGGATATATTGAAAATCATTCCCTGATTGAACCTTTTTATATGAGTAGAATACTTGACATGTTTGAGCCGAAAAAAGTTCCAGAATTTTTTGACTGTTTTTTAATAATTACTAAATTATTTTGCATGTAGGGTGGGCTGGCACCCAAGAGCACCAGTGTATTTCCTAGTACACTACCGGATATTCGATTTTGAGCCCGTGCTCAGCTGATCCCGAAATCTTGCATGTTCGTTCGCATAAAGATCAGCGCCCTCGAACGTATTACAATCGGTATTCGGTCCGTATCGTTTCTGATATAGGCGGATGCGCTGGCGCATTTATTTCGACGGAAGAAGTTAATGTAGTCGCGGATCAGCTGAAACGTGCACGGCCCAGTCTGTTTCCTGAACCAGGCTGAGCCGTCCCGGGGCCACGGCCAATATGGACGTCTGCACGGCCCGTCCCTTATCATCTATCCCTTGACTCGATTCCCAGCACTCCTCATCAAATAAATAAATAAAACTCGATTCCGAGCTGCATCGAACTCTTCTTCAAGCGAGCCACACTCCATTTCGTCGTGCACCTCCTGCTTACAGCTGCTGGCTGCACAGGCACAACTTCACCCTGAAAGTCATGGCGTCCTCACATACTGCGCGTGCTCGCCAAAAGAACGAAGCATGAACTGCTAGGACTACCAGTGTTCACCTCGAATACAACTTCCCTCATTTGCTCCGGTAGGCAGGCCGGTCGTGCTCCACGCGGCCGCCGGCGAGCTCGCCGTAAAAGAGCCAGTGAACTGCAAAGCTCACGAGGTAAAGAGAAAACCCTCCAACAACAGCATTGTGTGGTTATCTCAAAATGTAGGAAAGACATAAGTCATCATCACACCATCGTCACATATAGACAATATCAGAGCAATTAGCTATCTCCCAACCATGTGCACACCTACAGAACATGCCAACCAAAGCACAAGCAAGATCATAGTGAACAAAGTTTACTCAGTACTATAGTTTGGCCTCAAGTCCCGAACTGGACGAATAAGCGTGGAGCAATGCTCACTGAAACACACGAGAAAAATCCTCAGACTACAACACACATACTAAAAAATATATAGTTATCATATTTGATTATGATTAGTGATCATCACCAAGCAGCCAAGTGCACGTGTCCAGGTGGCGCCCTTCCATTCCATAGTTCTTGCATTTCCCCTGGCCTCCGCCGTTTCTTCAGAGCATCCGCCCCGGTCAGGGCAAGTGCCCAAGCCATCCCTCTTCTCTGCAAATGGTGCACCGCTCACCAGCAATGCCTTCAGTCCGGCCAACATATGCTCAAACGCTTCCGCACTGGCATCCCCCATCCGAACAACATTCATGGCCTGAACATACAGAGTCGAACAACAAATTGTGCCAAAACAGCTACCAGTGGCCCCAGGGAAACTGAAGAACATCACAAAAACATTTTTCATAATGGAGAGATCTTTACCCATGCACACAGAATTGTTAAACACAACTAATGGCTATTCTTGGCCTCCGGCTTGCCCTTCACACACAAAAATAATAATACAGTCAGGAATAACACAACTAATTCACTCAGTGCACACAGAATTGTTAAACAATTGTCCATACGCACCGAGCAACCACAAGCGATCTCCTGCATTGATTTCGTAGTCTGCTCTTGACATACCATATCCCGAACCCAATTTCCCAGGTTGTAGAAGTCATATGCCTCACCGAGCGAATTAAAAATGAGTCTTAGTTCTGGGCACACCATGCTTTTTGTAGGCTCCTCTGCGTACTTGCGGATTGACTGCTCAAACGGACTCATCCTAGATGGACATAGTGTTCTATCCGGTCACACACTCCCGAGGCGTAATCTGAATTTACAAGCAAGCACCAACTATGTAAGTCTCGACATGATAAAACAGTCAAAATATTTACACCTGATATGAACACTCCCAGTCACCCCACCTTGTTTTTTTTTACTCAGATGTTCACAAATGATCTAAACAAGGAAGACAGCTCTATGGAGTATTAGCCGCAAATACTACGAAATCATGACAATTGCATTTCCATAAGTAATTTTTTCGTCAAAGTCTAGATTCAGTTTGATGCAGTCATTTTTTTGTTCAAGGCCAAGAACTATGATTTCTAAGTATTTTCACTGATTATCATGGCTCCATGCTGGAGTACTAGGAAGTAGGAAAAAACAGAGCAGCTACGAACAAATTAAAATGCAGAACAGAGGAACAGAGGAACAGAGGACAGATGGTAAAGATTTCGGGTGCAGCTAGAGCACCAAAACGGCGTGTCCAACCCTACTATATTAGTTAACGTGCAAAGGTAGTAGGAGTACCAGACTTTAATAATTAAGTGATTGATTTCTATGTTGAACTGATCTCCTCATGGGACGTTAGCACATACGGCCGGGACGTAACACTTCCGTTCGTCATTGATGACGTCCTCATTTCGTAGCATAATATAATGCGTCTTCATCGGATGATCATCATATATCAGCATACAATATACGGATAAAGTGAGCATCCAGGTTCGTTCTGTCTGCCACCTTGAAGTTCTAGAGTACGTAGAACCTGAGAAGGTTCGGTGCCCATTAGAGTGTCGGATGCATGCAAGTTCAAACACGGTCTCCACCTGACCTGAGCAACACGGTTGCGATCCATGTCGCGCCTGTATAAATGTCCAGTTCGTCTTCTTCACCTTCATCGATCACTTGCCATCCTTACTCTCCTGTGACATTTCAAACACAAACCTACACTCCACAAGCCACGTTCTTGTCGCCAACATGGACGGCACCAAAGCCAACACCACCATGATGATCAGTCCCCGGAAGCCGCGGGTGATGCTCTACTCCTCCCCGCTCATTGGCCACCTGGTCTCCATGGTCGAGCTCGCCAAGCTCTTCGTCGCCCGTGGGCTAGCCGTCACCATCGTCCTCATGGACCCGGTGTACGACACCGGCGCTACGGGGCCCTTCCTGGCCGGCGTCTCCGCGGCCAACCCCTCCATCTCTTTCCACCGTCTACCACAGGTCAAGCTCCTGGAGTCTGACCACTCCATGATACCGGCCTTAGCTATCGCCCGCCACTCCAACCCGCACCTACGTGACTTTCTCACCGGCGCCTCCCCAGACGTCCTCGTGGTGGACTTCTTCTGCAGTGCCGCTGTGGACGTGGCCGCGGAACTTGGCATACCCGTCTACTTCTTCAACACCTCCGGCGCCCAGATCCTGGCTTTCATCATGCACCTCCCGGTTCTGCATGGTAAAAGCACGAGGAGCTTCCGGGAAATGGGCGAGGAAATCGTGCACGTCCCGGGGATCACCTCCTTCCGGGCGACCCACACCATCCAGCCGCTCATGGACCGTGACGGCGCGTCCTACAATGCATTTCTAAACGTCAACCTCAACCTGTTCCGGTCACAGGGCATCATCGTCAACACCTTCCGCTCGCTGGAGCCTCGTGCCATGGACACCATCCTCACCGGGCTCTCCACCCCACCCGGCCTCTCGACACCCCCAGTGCCAGTGTGGTGTTCTTGTGCTTTGGCAGCCTTGGCCGATTCAGCGCTAGACAAACCATAGAAATGGCCACTGGGCTGGAGGCTAGTGGACAGAGGTTCCTCTGGGTTGTGCGGAGCCCGCCAAGCGATGACACGACGACAGAGCCGGACTTGGATGTGCTGCTTCCAAAAGGTTTCCTAGAACGAACCAATGGCAAGGGCCTTGTCGTGAAGTCTTGGGCTCCACAAGGTGACGTGCTAGCACATCAAGCCGTGGGTTGTTTCGTGACACACTATGGGTGGAACTCGGTGCTCGAGTCTATTATGGTTGGCGTGCCTATGGTGGCGTGGCCGTTATACGCGGAGCAGAGGATGAACGCTGTATTTCTCGAGGAAGAGATGGAGTTGGCCGTCCCGATGAAAGGGTATGACAAGGAGGTGGTGGAGGCTAAGGAGGTTGCCAAGAAGGTCAAGTGGATGATGGATTCAAAAGGCGGGAAGGTGCTCCGAGATCGGACTCTAGCGGTGATGCGGCAGGCGAAAGAAGCTCTCCTCGAGGATGGAGAATCAGTGGCGACATTGACGGGGCTTGTGGATGCGTGGATTCATGCTTGACATGTGCAACATCATTTATAATTGTTTGTGGAAATAAGGAGTGAGTGTTATATATTTCACTTTCAGGTGTGATTTTAGTTTCTTCATTTCTGTAACATGTACTGCCTACACATAATGGAGAAATTTCCATACATGCCACTCCAAGCTTCCCATATGCTGATATTTTGTCTAAAAAATTCACAGATCCAGAACCCTATCAGATTCTTCTCGTATTGACTATCTTACCCCGTGAGTCTAGGGGGTGAGAAAATGGATAACAATGAAGGTAAACTAATAGATGTGGTGCATTTCAAACTCGACCATGGCCAATCTGAGAGGCGATCAGAAGTAAAAGTCCCCTACCCGCACCAGTCAATCTGCTTCCACGCCCCTGTCGGCGATGCCGTTGCCACACTTGATGTTCCGTTCTCCTGCGTGGTTCAGGCAAAGCCACATCGAGGACACCGTGTCGAGCCTTGATCTCACATGTGGGAATTGACTGAACGTTCTAAAATTTCCCAGATGACTGATTAATAGCAAACGCAAATAAAATTTTGTATCAGTTGCTTACCACTATCAATATTTGATCATGTTGAAGATCCAAAACCCAATCGGATTCTTCTCAGATTGGCCAGAGGTCGAAGAATGGAGAGCATTGACGGTCTAGAAACCGATGTGGTGCGTTTTTACCCCGTTGTTGATTTTAGTGGCATCTTTGTATTCCTTAAGTTTCACCGTGTTGAATAATATATTTGGAAAAATAGCAAAAATTCGAAAACAAATCTGAATTTTTTGCACATGAAAGTTGAGAAAATCTTCTAGGTGCGTGCTAAATCGAGGCGTAGAGCCCAATGGGCAAATCGGCCCATGGAAAACCACCCGGGCATTTGGTCGCTCGCTCGATGGGGATATTCTTCCCCAATTCTCATCCTTTCCTTGAGTGAGAGATCCACGGCTAGAGAGGCCGTGGAGAAAATCCACGACTGGCGCACGAGAGGTAACGGTGCAAGGCACACTTAGCGACCTCCTCCGGTGATTACCCCGAGCACTACGCCTAGCGGTTTTTTGGACATGATCTCCTCCCTCTCCCTGTCATCCAAATTGACGTGGTGATCTCCCCGTGGTGGGAGGAGAGGATCTCCAATGGCCATGGAAACCCCCCTGTGAAGGATTAGATCCCTGGGATGCTTTCTCCTTGCAACCAAATTAGGCCTAAGG